TAAGTGTGGACAGACTTCTCGCCCTTTGTTGGAGTTGTTTTACAAAGAAAGTGTAACTTTGAAGCGCACATACATCATTATAGCTACCTTTTAGATTTCATTGGTCGTTTCTGCTTTATTTTCCACTTGAAATCCTCGAATAACCGGTTTGTATGGTATCGCTTAAGTGTAATTAAAGTTCACCTTTCGCAATCAAGTTCCAGTATCACATATACAGAGATTTTCTCACGTATCATCAAATAATTATACAACAGATGTTTTGATCTTCACAATAGTTATCAGCTCTTCTCAAAATTCTTTTTTGAATTTAATTACCTGACAGATGGACACCTTTTGTGATACGCACCATAAAGTTTGTTTGCTGGATGCAAGGAACACCCAGAAACTTCAGAATAGGGTTTTAATGCGTTGATGTATAGCATCCTCGACAGACAGTTTGTTCACCCATTTTTAAAAACGACTACTAGAATGCTTCGAGTAAGTCTTCATGTCGATGCTATCCGATTGCATTGCTTCCTCAAAAGGAGGAAAATCGTTTCTTCAGCTGTAGAATGCTTGCGACAACAGGTTCAAATTCAACAGAGAGTGCAACACAGTTATGCTCATCCACTTTGGTGACTGGATTAGGGCATTTCTCAATTTATCCCTTAGAAGCGAACATAATCCTTTTCGTCACAGCATCTTTTGGCAATTCTCTCATCCTCGTTGCCTTCTACTGACAAGGATTCTTCCTTACATCCCCATTCCAGGGTTAGGTGTAGGAGACGTTAATTTCGCACGCACGAGGTTACTGTGTGGTGGATGTCCTCCCTGGGGTGGGATGGTGGGTACACACGTACACGTTTTAACGAGCACTCCGGAGCTCCTCCCCTTTAATATCTCAGCGGTATTTCTGCGAAATATAGAATTTTGCTGAAGTTTTATGGATGCGGGACGGAGATCATTAATGTTTTGAAAAAATAAAAATTTCCCTCCGGTTCATTATGACTTAAATATCTGACGGGAACGAACTGATATCTAGGATATTCTGTTGAGGTAAAGGATCATAAACGGGCTGATATCTGCGATATTCTGCTCAAGCAAGGAAGCATAAACCTCAAGAAAAAAAATTAAATCTGTTTATTTTCAATTTTCTAATTTATCTTGGTTGTTTAGAGGGGAGGTAAACAGCTGGCAGACGTGTCGTACCTGGATGTTTTGAATGAGTCTAAAAAGGAAAATGGTTATTTATTTGATGTGTGATATGCTCATGGAGTTTAAATTTGGCTCACTTGGCTTTATCACGTTATAGAGCCCGGAAAATTGTGTTATATTGCTCTAATCAACAGCAGTTCTTTCAATTCCGTTTTTTCAGAAGTATATAAAAAAGCCAACAAGTTCATTAAAAGTAGTTTATTGTAAGGCTCTTGCTGAAAACTCAATCTTAGTACCTCATAATGTAAAAAGTATTGGCCATTTTACGGAAAAATACCATGCAACTCATAAAATATATGCACATACGAATAAGGTGCCTCTATGCCAGTCTTGAAGTCTCGCATTTATTATCGGCTCTAGTTTAACCGAAATTTTCCACGCCCCTCTGAGGCTCGGCCGGGAAAACTACTACACAACTCGTAAAATATCTGCGCGTATCATATCTTACACCATAGAATAAGATGGGTCCATTCCGGTGTGGAAGTCTCGCATTTATTTCCGGCTCTCAGAGTCGGGGGACTTGAAATTACCTTTGACTCTACCTTTCTACTCACAAAGCTCTCAAGATAAATTTAACAGTAGAAGTTTTCTTCTTGAACACCATAAACAATTCAGTTTCTTTCCCCTTCAGGAAAATGCGTAGCTGCCAGAGATGAAAATTAACTACTAGATCTTGGAAGTGAAAGGGTAATTGGTAACTCATAAACAAACAAGGTAAAATTTAGGGATTGAATGGTCGCCCTCTTGGTTCTTTCTAAATTTTATATGTTGATCTAAAGTGATTTTGGTGCTAGGACTATTTTAGTGTTGCCCTCTTCATTGGATAAATTTCCCTCTTCCCTTAGGAAGAAATTAACTGTCTAAGTTCCACAAAGTTGAAGTTTTTGGGTTTGAAAAGTAACACACTTATCTATATCGTCGGTTTTCGTTAAGTCCCGACAACTATGCTGCTAGTTTTTGTCAGTCTTCTATAAATTTCGGCAGCTGGATTTTCAGGCTTTGTCAGTCTTGGACAAGTTGGCAACTCGTTCAATAGAAACCAAGGGTTATATTCTTTTAAAGAAGAAGAAAAAAAAGACCCAATTATAGGGCATTTTGTTTCTGACAGGAAACTTTTGTTCT